ATTCGTTTTTGCTATATTGCAATGGATTCAGCAAAACTCTTCTTAAAGGATAGCCTTTTTCTTGATAGCTTTGATTAATTTGGTACTTATTCTTATGAACTAATGAAATATCTATGATTTTATTTTCAAGTTAATTCCAATGATAGTTTATTTTGAATTAAATTATAAAGGGAGCCTTTGTCCTTAATATTTCTTTTTATAAACGGTATATTTTATATAATAGATTTTGAAATTTTAATGGTGTATTCCATGTATTTTTAAAATTATTTATTAATGCTTTCCATTTGTAATTTTTCCATTGTAAGGAACCTCCACAAACAGCTTGATACTAAACTCATGATCTTCTCCTCCTTCAAAGGAATGTCAATTATGTAGGACTCATGATCTTCTCCTCCTTCAAAGGAATGTCAATTATGTAGGAGTGACTTTATTATAGTAGAAAAATAAAATCGTTAAGTATTATTTCTCCTAAATGTAAAAAATACAATAATTGAAAACATGCCCAACATCATGCCACGTTGTAAGTCGAATTTTGAAAGCTAAAATAAAAATGATAGGAAGAATGGTATGAAACATTTGTCGGCGTCAAAAGATTATTCAATCAGTTGACGGAGTGGTCTCAGGTGGCGCTGGTTTAGCACAGATGGGAGGGTTTTGCTTTCCAGAAATGGTCGGTTTCACATTTGCACACTCAGACACAGCTGGCCCTTCTTTACCACTATAAGTGAGGTCAATATCAGCAATTTCCACCCCCTCACATGGATTACTTTTACTGCAAACAAGTTTGACTGCAACCGGAGTAGAAGATGTACCCCTGATATTCTTGAAACTAACTTTGCTAATCTTAATGGCTGATGGAACCTGGATGTTCAAAATAAACATTAATTAATACTTGTTCAAAAGAAAATAAGTTGGAAACCAACGAGGTTCGACTTTAATACACACCTTTCGGTTGCATTGATTCCATGGACAATATTCTTGATCTATGATGATAGGGTTGGCAACATTTTCCATTTCAATATCTTCAAAATGCATGTCAGAGGCTGGGTATGAGACGGCAGAATCTGGCCATGATTTGATCCTGACACCATTTGTAGTACCGATTAATTTGCATTTCTTCACTGTAACTCCTACTACTTCCTTTTCAGTTTTATACTTGCCCAAGCTACCTATGCTAATGCCATGTCCCGGTCCGCAAGTAACATCACTAATGGTTATTTTTCTGTTAGTGTATCCTACAGATATACAATCATCTCCCGTTGCAATTGCGGTATTGAGAATGTAAACGTCTTCTGAATCGCCCATGTGAATTCCATCGGTGTTGGGACTATTGTGTGGTGCAGTGATTTTCAGGTGATCGAAGGTAAGATTCTTGCCGGCCAAAACATTGATATGAAAATTCTTGCTATCCAACGAAGTTATGTCCTTCACTATCGAATTTGTGATGAAATTGAACTTCAAATTCTGCCCATTTTAAACAAACAAAGAAAAAACACTCCCGCGTTAAAGCATATAATTTCTAACCCAAATTATGAGTTCTTTTTATAATTAAAGTAGTATGAGCATTTACCATCGGAAGCTTTTTGCATTCTTTCTTCAGGTGGCAATCATTCTTTTCCCAACCAGCTTTTCCTTGGCCATCGAAAACTCCAGTACCAGCCAATGTCAAATGATCGACGTATTCCATAACAAGCAACCCAT